GCACCCAATCCAGACAGGGGCTGGTTGAAAGAAGCCCACATACCAGGTGCTTGGCTAGGAAGCTGCAGTGCCTGGCTTGTTCCCATGGTGCTGCTGAGGCAGCCTCCCAGGTACTTTGCTGTCACTGTGGGAAGATCCCCCATCCCAGCCAGGGGTGGGGCAACATCTGTGGGCTGGATGACCTGGCTCTGCAGACTGGATCCAGCCCACTGGCCATATGTTTAACACCCCTGGTTGGAGTATAGTTGCCCCATGGACAACCACACTATGCAAGGTGCAAGCTGCAGGTAAGCCCTAACCTGGCTCTTCCTGCCCAGTATTGACTTGAGGACAGCAACATTTCCCAAAGTCTCATCCCACAGGCAGCACATGGCCCAGGAGCCATAATGAGTCATAATGAATGTAGGGAGTAAAAGGAAGGTGCAGGGCAGCATAGGACCCCTACTGAACAAGAAGGAGCAATTAGTGACAGATAGGGGGGACAAGGCTGAGCTATTCAATGAGTTTTTTGCCTCTGTGTTCCTGAACAGGGCTCAAGTTAAGTCTCCTAATGGGTTTTTACATGGGCATCAGAGGGACACCAGTCCACCAACTGTTGATGCTGACTTGGTGCAGTCACTTGGATGGACTGGGTGTGTTCAAGTCAGCAGGCCTGGATGAGCTGCATCTGAGAGTACTAAAGGAATTGGCCGGTGTCATAGCAGAACCACTGGCATGGCTGTTTGAGCACTCATGGCGCTTGGGTCAGGTCCCAGAGGACTGGAAAAGGGCCAATGTGGTCCCTATTTTCAAGAAGGGGAGGAAGGAGGATCTGAGTAATTATAGGCCAGTCAGTCTCACCTCCATCCTCCAGTCTCACCTCCATCCTTGGAAAGGTCTTTGAAAAGATTATGAAGGATCATATTTGTGGGAGTCCAGCGGGAAAACTAATGCAGCAGGGAAACTAGCATGGATTTGTAGCAGGTAGATCATGCCTAACCAATCTGGTTTCATTTTATGACAGGGTCACAAAATGCTTAGGCGCAGGAGTAGAGGTGGATGTTGTTTTCTTGGACTTTAGCAAGGCCTTTGATACAGTATCTTATCCTATTCTCATAAATAAATTAAGAGGCTGTGATACAGATGTTTATATGGTCCGGTGGGTGGCAAATTGGCTAAGCGGTCGCACCCAGACAGTGATAGTAGATGGGTCGGTATGGACCTGGAAAGATGTGGGTAGTGGGATCCCGCAGGGTTCAGTCCTTGGACCTGTACTCTTTAATATCTTCATCAGTGATTTGAATGTGGGTGTCAAGTGTACTCGGTCCAAGTTTGCAGATGATACCAAATTGTGGGGTGAAGTACACACTCCGGAGGGTAGGGAATGATTGCAGGAAGACCTGGACAGGTTAGAAAGGTAGGCAGTACACAATGGGATGCAGTACAACAAGAACAAATGCAGAGTGTTGGAGCTAGGGTGCAAAAATATCCAGCACACCTGCTGGCTGGGAAGTGACCCTATCAGCAGCACAGAAGCAGAAAGGGATCTCGGAGTCATAGTGGACTCCAAGATGAACATGAGTCATCAGTGTGATGAAATCATCAGCAAAGCTAACTGCACTTTATCATGCATCAGCAGATGCATGACAAATAGATCCAAGGAGGTGATACTTCCCCTCTATGCAGCATTGGTCAGACCGCAGTTGGAGTACTGCGTCCAGTTTTGGGCGCCGTACTTCAAGAAGCATGTTGATAGACTCAAGAGGGTCCAGAGGAGGGCCACTTGTACAGTTAGGGGCTTACAGAACAAGCCCTATGAGGAGAGACTGAGGGACCTGGACCTCTTCAGCCTCTGCAAGAGAAGGCTGAGAAGTGATCTTGTGGCTGCCTACAAATTCATTAGGAGGACGCAGCAAGGGATCAGAGATGCTCTGTTCACCAGGGCGCTTCTTGGGGTAACAAGGAACAATGGTCACAAACTGACAGAGAGCAGATTTAGGCTAGATGTCAGGAAAAACTTCTTCATGGTAAGGGTGGCCAAAATCTGGAATGGGCTTCCAAGCGAAGTGGTGCTCTCCCCTACCTTGGGGGTCTTTAAGAGAAGGTTGGATAGGCATCTGGCTGGGGCCATCTGACCCCAGCACTCTTTTCTGCCCAGGCAGGGGTTTGGACTCAATGATCTGTTGAGGTCCCTTCTGACCCTAGCTTCTATGAATCTATGAATCAGGGACCGTGGAGAATAACCATGGCGTGATCTGCTCCATACGGATGCATGGATGGGGTACTGGAATGCCTTGCCAGGGCACAGGTCCAGGCACTGCAGTACCACCAGTAGCCAGCAGGTGTCAGCCCTTGGCCAGGGTTCGCAGGCCTGTTCTCTGCTCTGTAGCAGCCAGGAGCTGCTGGGCTGGCACAGCCCATGCATCCCACGTTAAGGACTGGGCACGAGATCAATGACCTTGGCGCTGGGGATCCAGATCAGAGACAGACTGGATCAGAGCAAATTTGGCAAATTGTAGCTGCCCGGCTCTGCCAAGCTTCCCTGGGCAATCAAGGTCCTTTCTCAGCCTCTCCTCTAACCAGAGCCTACACTGGCTCTGTTGTCCCTGTCCTCACCCTCCCAGCTCCCCACTCCCTGCAGCCACACCTGCCATAAAATGCCAGGGAGGTGAGCAGACCATGCCCAGTGCATCTGCAAGGCTGCATCTCTGCAGCCAGAGCAGTGCCCCCTCCTCCTTTGCCAAGCATCAAGGTAGCCAGGAGGGTGCAACAGTATGTAGGGCACCCTCACCTCTCCCTGGAGAAGAGATTTAGCATGCCAGTGGAGCCCTCTGCCTGCCACACAGCGATACAGGCCCAGTGACTCATTCTCTCCTGATAGCTAAGGCAGGCTGGTGTGAATGCAGTCAGTGTCTACCACAGTGGAGAGAAGGGTGTCCGGAAAATGCCCCATCTCTGAGCACTGAGAGGTGGACAATGGGATACCCTCAAAGGTATATAAGGCCTCAAGGTTCTTTGTGATGGGATGAGGTGGGCTGGCAAGCACTGGTCAGACTGGAAACACTTGGGAAACATAGCCTAGCAGTCAGAGCAGAGCAGGACTGGCAGGGCTCCTGGGTTCTGTTCCTGGCTCTGGGAGGAGAGCAGTGTTTCCTAGTTTGAGCCTGGCTGTCTGGGTTCTTTTCCCCAGTCCTACTGCAGGCGTGCCATATGACTTTGCTTCCAGGCACTCTTTGTACAATGAGGGAAACAGCCCTTTGGAAGTAAGACAATGTTTGAGGATCAGTTCCCTGAGGTTGACAAACAGCTGTGAGACCCTCAGCTTGCGGGTGCTACAAATGGACCAGCTCCTCCACACCCCTCAACAGGGGGAACCCTCTACCCCTACACTTGTGCATGCGTGCGCGCACACACACACACACACACACACACACCCCCCACGGCAGAGCCAAGAGCTGAGCAGGCTCTGCCAGAAATTCAACCCTGGGATGATAGATGGATTCTTACCCCCACCCTCTCTCCCTGTGGTTGCCCACTCAGGAGACAGCAGCAAAGAGGACACTGGGTCTGTGGGGGCTTAGGCTGATGGGTAGTTTCATAGTAGCTAGGGTCAGGAGGGACCTGAACAGATCATCTAGCCTGCCCCCCTAAAAAGCTAGTTTTGAAAGAGGGCACCCAGATTTGAATTGGGAACCTCTTGATCTGCAGTCAAATGCTCTACCACTGAGCTTTACCCCCTATGCTTGCAAAAGCACCCTGCCCAGAGAACCTTCTGTACCAAGGCTGCAGTGCCACCAGGGTGGCAGCAGCAGCAGCAAGATGAGGTTGAACAGGAGCCAAGAACTGGGCTGGGTGTCAGCTGTGGCTGTGACCTCCTCCTGCCACCCCACACAGACTCTCCCTCTTCAGCAGAGCTCAGAGCAAAGCACCCAGGGGAGAGTGGGAACCTGGTTGGGGGGAGGAGTGTGCAGTGGGGGGAAGCAGGGGAGCCTGACAGCAGACAAAGAGGAAATCACAATACCAGGATCAGGCCCCAGGGACAGCGTTGCTCACGGGCTCGGTGGGCCTCAGCTAGAAACATCCCAGAAAGAATTAAATCCCACCCCTGCCCCTGCCCCAGCTCCTTTCTAAGGGTGGTGCAGCACCTTGGGGGAATGCACTGAGACATGCAGGGGAGGACACCTGGGTTCCATAGTCTGCTTTGCAGGAGAGTGGGGTCAAGGGGATACAGTAGGGTGGTGGCCCCAAGGAAGGACCCCAAAGCCATATTCTGAGCACTGTAGGCAGGTAGAATCTTGCAGGTGGAAGGGGAGAGCAGGGAACTAGGACTCCTGGATTCTATTCCCAGAGGGGAGTGGGATGTAGGGCTACAGGGGGTGGGGGGGCAGGAAGAAGGACCCCCACCATTCTTTCTATCTTTAGCTCTGCAGGGGAGTGGGTTGAAGCAGGGAGGGCTGGGAGCCAGGACTCCTGGGTTCTGTGCCCAGCTCTGGGAGGGGACAAACTCAGCATACGGACTCAGAACAGGGCTGGGAAGTTTTGGTCCCATTTGTAGGACACCCCACAGTTCAGCCCATCCAGCAAGGAGCCAGGAGCTGGGACTCCTGGGTTCTCTGCCTAGCTGTGTTGCCAACCCACTGAGTACCCCAGGGCAAGTCCCCTCACATTCTGTGCCTCAGTTTCTCCACCTCTAAATGGGAATAAATGAGCCTACCGCCTTGGGGAGGGTCACATTAAGTTTAGAGGTCACTGTCCAAGCAGTTGATGTGTACCTGGATTGGGTGCACCCACTGCACAAGTCCAGGCAGCCAGCTTTGTGCCTTCCCCGTGGGGTTCCCTGGCCATGGCCACAGAACAGGTCATGCTCTAGGTGGCCAGAACAAAAGGGAGACAGGGTCCATCAGGCCTAAACCTCAGGTGCTTCTGAACAGTGCAGGCGCCCTTTGGTGGGCATAGCTCTCCCTTGGTAGAAATCTCTTGCAGAGGGTTAGTGGGCGAGTGATTAGGAGGAGATTTTGTACCTTTTAAAGTCCTTTTACCCAATGTATTGCAGCTGCAGACAGGCTTTTCCTTACCAACAGCTCCTCTCTCCTGCTGAGCCCCGCAGAAGATTTTGGGCTCAATGACATTCCTGAGGCAGCAATATCCACAGGCAGGTTCTGCAATGGCAACAAATCAACCGACTCCTCCTAGTCCTGCTCCATCTCAGTTTCACTGGCCAGTGTTAGTCAGAGGAAAATACTGAGTGGGGTTTGGCCTAACTCCACAGGCAAACAGCTGGTTACTGCATGGTCCTCTACAGACAGACAGGACATTGCATGGGGGAGCGGGTGGAGACCGAGAGATGACCTGGGCCAAATTCATCCCTGGTGGAACACCACTGACTCCACTCCAAGGCTGGGGCTAGTCAGCTTTATGTTTTGTATAATACAACAGCATCTACAGGCCTCAATCAGAAGCATCAAGGTGACGTGGTGCTCGTTGCTGTACATTTCGATATCTTCCCCTGAAGAGCTTATAGTCTAACTTAGAGATCCTTTCCATTCTGGATCATATCAGAGGAAAGATTCAGAAAACCCCTCTAGTTACTTGCTTCCATCCAAAACCCCTTTTGCTAATCGTTCTTCATTTTCCAAAGCTAGCACCATTCCATTTAAAGTGTTCTGGGTTTTGTCCCCACCCCAAGGTAAACATTCCTCAGTTGCCTAGGCCCAGCAAAAAGGGCACAGACAGCAGAGGAGAGACAGTGCTCAACTTTCCGATTCAGCACCTGTGACCATCGTAGCTATGAGGTTGTGGCCAGAGGAGTCCAAAAATCTGAATCCCAATTCAGATGTGTATCAATGGCCCTGTTTCTTATTTTGGACTGAGCCAGAGTTCAGTGACGAGACATCTCTATAGCAAAATGAAATGTTTGACATTCTGCTCCTATAGCATTTTGGTTATGAACTAAACTATTAGGTGGGGAAGCATTAATGGAATGCAAAACTCACAACATAATTGGTATTGTTTTGCTTTTCTGGTTTGACTTTCCTCCGGTAAGAAACCCTTCATTCCCACCCCCCCTTCCCTCCTCCTCCTCCTCCTCCTCCCTCAAGAATTTTACATTTTATCTCCAGGAAAAAATGACTCATGTTTCAGCAAAAGTTTCCATAAGTTTGAAAACTTTTTTTTTTTTTAAGAAAAATCATTTTGCTTCAAAATCAGACAATATTGGGAATTTTGTTCATTCTCAATGTTAAAAATGCCTGTTTTGTTGAAAATGACTTCTGGATTATGGGACAGTTTGAAGCTTTGTGACAAGAACTAAAAAAAGAACATCACTGTCATTTTCATAATGTTATCACTTCTTCCTCTACTGAAATGCAGCTGTCTCTGGGGTGGGGTGCAGCATCTCTTTAACAGCCACTCAGCAACACTACACAACACCATCTGGGACAGAAAAAGAAGAATCCTGCATCCCACCGGGCAAATTAAGAACAACGGCAACAAAGGACTGTGGTTTCTGGTTTTCTTACTTTTACATCCTTCCTTACCTGATGTCATGTAGCTTCTCTGGTGACTTCACAAATGGTTGCCATGGAAAAAAGTGTGATGCACCGTACTGTGGGATGTACCATGGAGGAGAAGGTGAGGAGCAGGAGCTGGTGAACTTATACACCACTGGAAATCTGGACTGGTTCTGTGATAGGAAGGGAAAGATTGTGAGAACAAGGATACTGAGCCCAAATTTCTACTACCCAATACCCACAACTGGGTTTAGAATTGCTGAAGTGCCCAGCACTCAATAAGCAGAAATCAAAATATGAAAAAAAAAATCAATCCTCACTATGTCGAGCAGACCAGAATCCTCAGAACAGGCAACTGCACTTTGAGGTCAATGCCTCAAAGTGCATTTGCCCCAACTACACATCTTAGATGGGGGAGAATCAGAGAATCATAGAAAACTAGGGTTGGAAGGGACCTCAGGAGGTCATCTTGTCCAACCCCCTGCTCAAGGCAGGACCAGCCCCAAATTTTTTTATAAAATATTTTTTTCTCTTTAATGATGTTACTCACTTCATCCACCATAAAAGCAGTCTCTTCCCCCAACTGGAACTCGTCCACAGCGCTCATGCTCCAAGTGTCCCCCACCCTGCGGCCCCACCTCTGCCACTAACTGCCGGCTGTGCCCTTAGACCCTAAGGGAGGTTATACCCTACCACAGCCCAAGGTGTGGCTCGAAAGACTGGATCTCGGTCTGAGATCTGAGGAACCCGAAGACTCAGGGGATATTTTCCTCTGGAAATTTGTTCACTTGGTCTGTATGACACTGAGCAACAGGATCTCCGGGGGGCAGGGAGCAACTCTGTCCCATAGAAGATCCTTTTGTTGTTGTTCTATGTTTGCACAGCACCAAGCACCCCAAAATCTTGGGCCAGGGGACTCTGAGGTCTGAGACCAATGCCCACACTGATACTAACAGAGCTTGCTGAAATAGGCTAATAGAAAAAAAAATACCAGAAACCTTTCCTACACGTATTTCCTGGGGTGGGGGCAGAGGTTAAAAGGAATGATCTTGTTTGAGCCTTCCATGAGCATTTTTATTACTGAACATGTTTGGTTTTTTAAAACTGTTTTTTACCCTGTTTGATTCACCTCTCCCAGATCAGCTTTCCTTTCCTTCCCTTTTTCTTCCAGTAGCAAAATGGGACACCACATTTCTGACTGGTGGGCAAATGGTTACAAATGTTAATAACTCCCACCCCAGGTTTTCTTCACAAAAATGATTCTAATAAAAAATGAAGCGGCTGCACATGGTACCTTTTACAGAGGACTGAAGAAAAATCTGGCCTGGCTTTTGAAGCAGAGTTGGGCGGCATGGGGGAGCGGGGTGCAGGGGTGATCTGAGAAGTTCCTGGCAGCCTTCGTACTTACCAGCTTCACTTCTGGAGAAGACCCCCATAGGGAACAACCCTGCCAGAAGGGATAAGATTAGACAGGGCCCAGAACCCTTTACGCAGCTGCCATTTCCATGTGAGGAGGAAGTCCAGGACCCTTGCTTAGATCGGTGGTTCTCAACCTTTTTAAACTCAAAGCATTCCTCATTAGACTCAAGGCACCCCTTGGGAAATGCCAGCTCTTAGCCTTCACTTGTTCTTTGATTGCTGAAAAATACTAGAGCAATTCTTCTGTTGTAAAGAACTCAGAAAGCCCACAACAGGACAAAATGGTTTTGGCACTATGGATTCTTACTGGAAACCTTTGGGTTTATCTTGTGAATCACGTTTGCACACGTAACAGTACTAACATGGCATGGCACCCCATGGCACCCTTAAAAGCTTCTCAAGGCACCCTGGTTAAGAATTACTGATTCTCACAATCCCCTATAAATCTCTTCATGGATGTGCGATTCTGTCACAGAAAAAAGAAATTGGAGTCATTTCTACATGGGAAGGTATAGACCATGAATGACACTTGCTCCCTGAGGCTGGGGGGGCACAGTGACTGCCTGCAGGTGGTGGCGGCGGTGGGGGCAGTGAGTGGGAAGCTCCCACAGGCGGCCACAGCGGTATTGGCAGTAGAGGGGGAAGGGTGGCAAGTGCCAACTAGCAGTCGGCAACTGCCTGCAGATGCCACCGGCAATAGGTGACCACCCTCAGATGCCGCTGGCAGTGTTGTGGGGACAGGGTGGCAAGCAGCGACTGCCCACAGGTGCTGCTGGCAGTGTCAGCAGTGCTTCTTTCAGGGCATGCACCGCCAATCTCAGGGGGTGCACATGCACCTGCGTGCACCCCCTACGCATTGCCAGTGGTGTAGACTGATGAAGGCGGGCAGTTACAGTTAGCCAGGTATAACTCCTGCTGTGCGCACGCTCCTGTCCCAGGATAAGTGTGGCTCTTTAGCTGAGTTTAAATCCCTTTCCAAGCAACCAGTGCTGCTTAAAAAAAGCAGCAAATAAGGGACACCCATGCAGAAGTGATACTGGTGTGGCCAGATCTGGTAGAAACCCTTCACTGTGAAAATAAAGGCTGGGCTACTAAAATCAGAGGGGAGGGGCTCACCCACCTCCTACCACCTTCTACAGCAGTATGAACCCAGTGTGAAATGCTGCTTCCCTTTCCCATTCATCAAGGCCCAGGACAGTTAGGACCTATAGCCAGGCAAGGCAGGTCGAAGCAGTCACTTGGGTGACCTGCCTCCCATCCCTTCTCTGCCATAGATTTCCCCACTGACGCAGGGGCCCATCACTCTGGGCTTGTCTAGATGTGGGATGCCAGTGATGCCTTCCTCTCTTTGCAGAATAGAGTCCCTTGGTTCCCCAATGAAGTCCCCACACCAGAGGATCACAACGGTGCATTTCCATTTTCACTAAGCCAGTTAGCTTCCCTGCATAGACAAAGCCTACGTGTTTCCTGTTCTCTCTCTATACTGTGGGGGTGGGGGCCTTGCCCTGCCACGTGGGGGTATAGGGGGGAGTAAACACACTGCAAACCGGCAGGTGCTCTTCCTGCCTAGCATTGGGGAAGTAGCTAAGTACCTACAAACAACAGACGTCTTCTCCAGGGAAGCCCTCGGAGGAGGGCTTGGTGGCCAGTGGAGAGGTGGGGAGGGCTCCTTACCCCCTTGCCCTCGCCAAGGCAAACGTTGGCGCTGAGCTGCAATCACAGATCAGTTTGCTGCCTCCATTCCCAGAAGAAAGAATAAAGTTAAAACATCTGTTAATTTATAAACCAATTTAACCATGACTGGTTAATAAATAGCTAACAGCTGCCAAATCCACTACCCCTCAGCTCAGGAGAGGGGCACTCTGGGATTGAGGATACAAACAGATTAATCTAGATGTTTTTTCCAGCATGCTCAGGCTCTTGCGCACACTCTTCTCTGTGCTGTTTATTATTGTTGTTGTTATGGATTTCACTCTTCAACAATCAAAGTACATTGGGTAAAAGGAAGGGAGTTTTCTGGATCTGAAACTAACCAGGAAACCCAAATACATTTCTTTCTCCTTGCAGCTTTATAGCTGAATTTTAGGTTTGGGGCTGGGGCATTTCTGGGCTTAAAGCATCATGTCGTGCGAGGGTCACTGGGCCTGACGCCAAGCAGAGGGTCTAGAACTCAGCTCCAGAGATGGCACAGAGGCAGACCTTCCCAACTACTCCTTAAGGGTGGTGGCTTCAGGTGTGACCACAAAGCCTGGCTGCCTCCATTTTGTGTCTGTGGATCACAGAAGAGGGCAAGTACCACAATGGACCACAGCAGTAGGGGGCAATCCTTTTGACAGATGTGCTGCAAATTAGCCCTGTGCCCTCTCTGAGTGCCACTCCAATCCCAATCCATCCAGGAAGAGCACACACCAACTGCAGAGGTTTCCTCAGCCTGACTAAGGGTTTTTAAATGTGAAAGCTTGCTAAACATTTTTTTCCCAACTATTTAAGTTGGTCTAATAAAAGATATCAGATTCACTCAAAGAACCTCCTACTCCAATCCCCTTTCGCTGCCCAATCTGCTGCCCTGCCTTCTGCTTCCTCCCCTGAGCTCCCTGCCTGATTCCTGCTCTGCCCTTCTGCTCCTTGCCCTACGGGCTGCTGTGCTGCCTGTCCGCTCCCTTACCTGTGATGTGCCACAGACAGGGAGCCTGCCTGTGTCACATGTGGCTCTTGTACTGCAGGATGGCCATGCTGGGACTAGGGGGTCTCACTGAGTATATGCAGCTAAGAGGAAGCCTGAATCAGGGCTGAGGGTATTGACTGGGACTTGGGGTGTAGTTCCTTGCTCTGCCATTGACTCCCTCGTATGAATTTGGGTCAGTGACTCAATTCCTCTGTGCCTTAGCTCCTCAATGGTGTATGGAGGATAGCAGCCCTGCCTGTCTCACCTGGGGCTTGTGAGGGCAATAACATTAAAAACCTTGGTCTGCTCTGGTGATGGGGAACCTATGAGGCTTCTTAGCTGGATAACTCAGGCTGAAGTCAATAGGAAAGTAGGGTGCTTCATACCTTCTGCAAACCAGGCTAAGGATCAGCAAGCCTTGAAAACAGACCTGACAGCTGAACTAGCCGCTCACTGGGTTTTTGAGATAATGTGGCTGTGAGACTCCATCCCTCAGGCCTGACCCTATGTGGGAAGTCTCTCCTGCCTGTAGGCCTACTTTGCACCTTCTGGTATACTGGAGGCTGGTGAGTTGCCCTATTCCTATCCATGAGTCCAGCCCAACCAGTAGAGGATCCAAGTACCAGCATCCATCCTGAACCTGAAGGAAGCTTCTGGACCTTTAAAGTTCAGGTGGGCACAACCTATGGGCCTCTGAGTAACCTGGCTGAGGTATGGGTCAGGAGCAAAGGCATGAACAGAACCCAGATGGAGTTGACTTCCCAGGGAGACATGGGTGAGTTCTGGTTCTTGAGCCAAGCAGCAGAGCTCCCAATGGGAACCTGCAGCCTGGGAGGGGTTGGAATTGGAGGGGTCCCTGCTCAACCTATGATAAGGAGAGGGGAGGAGAGCATGGTGCCTCTGTGGAGTTTGGATCCAGGTCTGGGCAAGCCCAAAGCCCAGGCAAGCTTGGACCAGCCTGAGCCCAGCTCTGGTTCTGCAAAAGGCTTTTGCTGAGGTCTCTGGGCCTTTGAGAAACCCCCATGGAACAAAATAGGGGAGGAAAATCCCTTGCACGCAGCCCCTGCATCTCAGGGCCCTTGGGCCAGCTCCCCAATGGGTGTAAATGTGCAAAAGGTGTCAATAGAGCCATGTTCCTTTGCACCTGGTTGAGACACAGTGCTTACATTCTCACACAGCTCTGACCCAAAGCTCATTCCTGGGCATGCTGCCACCTGCTGAGGTGAATAACTGGGGTCTGCAGCCTCCACTGAGGGAACAGGCAATAAATGTTTGCAATATAACACACCGGTGGCTTTGCATCAGGCCTATGGTGTGAACCACAGATACCCACACCCAGAGCCCAGATATTTACACTGCGGCTCAGGCCCTGGCACTTCACCGGGGCTCCCAAAATGGGAGGCTGCTAAAGCATAAACCCACAGAACAGGGCTTCAGGGGCCTGGGCTACTGAGCATGTAGCAGAGTAGGTGGCCAAATCTTCCCAGGAGCGATTGATTCCCTGGGAAGAAAGAAAAAGAAGTTCCAATAATGAGTCTGATGGAAAGCAATCTTGTCCCTTCATAAAGAAATTGGACTTTTAAGTTGGCTCCACAGAGAGGAATCCCAGCGAAGAGGACTTTCAAATGCAAATCTCTTAAAAAGGACGGAACATATGGGCAAAGCAAAGCACTTACTTTTCAGAATGAAATTATTTTATTTTTTGTGCGTGTGTGTGTGCATGAAGAAACAGGGGGTGGGAGGGGGGGGGAGCAGCCTGTTTAATTGGGCTCCCAAAGGGACAGGGCCCCTTTAAGACATTTTACCTTCATTAGGAGTGATTTCTTCCACCCAAACATGGGGGCTGGCTACAGGCAGGAGGGGGAAAAAATCAAATCACATTGGTCCCAACACTGCCAGTGCTGACCCAACAAGCCCCAGTCTTCACTGAGGTAGGTAGGTGAACCCCCTAGACTCCACTGACTGCACTGAGTTGGGCATGCGCACCCCTGCTTAGGACTGGGCACAGCAAGTGATTGGACGGGGGTCACAGCATCCGCAGAGCAAAGTAAAGAGTCCATGGATGTTTGCCTGGGGACAAGGGCTCTGCAGGGCAGGGTGGGTATGTGGACATGAGCCTTAGCTCAAGGTGACTTAGGTCAAAATACACGTGCCAGCTGTAAGAACGTGCATGTCTGTACTGAGGGTTTTATATACTTGGCAGGTGTGTCCATGAATACTGGGGCTAGGGTGAGGACTCTTGGCTTCTCCTCTTAAGTCTGGGAGATATTATCTAGTAAGGAATAAGAGTGAGGACACCGGGTTCTAAGTTCATTTGAAAGCATCTTCACTTTGTGACTCAGCTACCCTCTCTGGCAAATCAGTGGGGGGTCATGCCAACCCCATCTTGCTAGGCGTCTTGGCATCACCTTGGTGACATCTGCATGAACGATTAATGCTGCCTTCATTACAGAACAGCACACGTCCTCCAAGCAGTCACTGTACAAACCTGAGCTGATTAATATCACTAGGACTCTGGGCATGCTCCTCTCCTGCCTCTGAACCGTGGTCTAATTGGCTGCATTTACCCAAGTTAAATGGTAGCCGTTTCAGGAGAGGGACCTTGGGGAGGGACCTGTACCCTATGCCAGAGGCTGGAATGGCTGGCTGGGCAATTCCCCCACTGCAACAGTGACACAGGGCCAATATCGGCAGGTCCACAGTATTTCCTTATGCATGGGCACTGCCTTGGCAGGGGCATAGCTGGGGGCATCAGCTGGAGTAGCAGGGGCATTGGGTAGCCTGGTTCACTTGGGCTGCAGAGGCCTCATGACTGTTATGGGGAGCAGTTGTAAATTAAAGTAGCCTTGGGGGACCACTGGAGAGCACAGCAGGCCCTGTTCCCCACTTTGCATAGGTTTGGGCTGCGCCTCTGATAAAACCCAGGTAGATTCCAGGTCTGTTCTGAGATAAGCCCTTGTCACTGTTGCGAAGAGGATCTCCAGGGACATGCCTTTCCCAACAGCAAGGGTTCTTGCTCATCTTGGACAGCAAGGCACTGTGAGTGCATGATGCCTGTACGCACAGCACCATGGCAGCATATGAGTGCCAGCTTGTGTAGGAGCATGAATGCATTCATGTCTATATAATGGATGGCAGCAGCTCCATCACTAGAAGTCTTAAAATGCAGCTTGGACCAACCTTTGGGATGGTTTTGACAGTGGTGACTGGGTGAGATGACGCCTCCCTGAGGTCCCTTTCTGTCCTGTTATCCCCTGATGGTAGGGCTGTGTTTGTGAGTCTTTGCGTGTGTATAAATGCATGGATGCAAGTGTATTTCAAACAGCTTGTGTATGAAAATCCCTAACCTGTTGATGGCCCCTGATTGTTACTGCACTACAGATGAGAGCTAATCGACTTCTTCTGTCGCTCCACAAAAGGGGAGCACTGCAGGGCTGGCTTCCATCACCACTCCCCCACCAGCCCTGCGTCCTGAGCTGGATACGTTCCTGACAGTGGAGTTCAATCCTGTTCAGTCTGGGGCTGCTCAGTTAGCACCAGGCATTGCCTGGCTTTGCACTGTGCACACTGACCTTGCTGTGTCTTGGTTTTATGTCTGAAAAATGGGGACCATAAGACTTACCTTGTTATCTCAATTTCAAATGTGAGTTCATTGAAGCAGAGACAAGACAAGTCTTCTGATCTCAGTTTGTAAACAGGTTGGGGGTGGGAGGGGTGGGAAGGGCAGTGTTGCCAGTTCTGATGAGTCTGTTTCCTATAAAGGCCCAACCTTCTGGAGTCCCATGATGTGAGAGAATCTTAACTTTCACTTAAAAATAAGTTACATTGATGACTGCAGAGAAATATTTGAGAATGAGACCAGGGCATCCTTAAAGACTCAGAAACCAGAACAGAAAAAAAAAGAATCTACTATCTAGCATTTTGAATTAACAAAAGCTTTTTTCCAACCCTCCCAATATAGAGTTGGAGATTCCAGAAATTTAAACAAGGTCTTTCATCCAACATGTCAACAAGACGCAGTATTGAGCAAGGCCTGGGTCCTGCTCCGACCAGTCTCTAAGGGTTAAA